CTGCCGGACGTTAATGAGCATACGGTCACGAGAGTTAAATGTGCCTCTACAGACTATTTTTTTTTTATAGTAGCAAGAAACAAGATGAAAAAGAGTCATAACAAAGCTAATTTTTTTCTCCTCGAGTCAACCGCCATTGCTTTCTACGTTGGAACAGTTACACAAAACAATTACTGTCAAGCCTATGTGTATGTGTGTCCCCGCACTTTCAGGTCCAGTAAATCCAGGAAGGTGAAATTTTAGGGCAAGGTAGCCTGCCCAAGCGTGACCCCAAAAATTTGGATTCAGCATCCACGCACGTGAACATTTTGACAGAGAGGTTATTATCTAGGAAACTACAAAAACTAGAAAGCTGAATTTTTAAGGAAATGTCCGTTTTCCACATGCAACCTCACAAACTCAAGCTTTGATATAAGCCCAAGTGTCACGTACGTCCCCGCTAATTCGATGAGAAAATTTACGAATTCATAACTAGAACAGATGAGAGGCGAAGATTTCAAGGGGATGTTTTCTGCCTGTGTTGTGACCTCATAAATTCGAACTTAGCCTCTGCATTTGTCCAAATCTCAAGCACGGCCACATGAAAATCACTAACTCGAAAGTCGAAAAACTAGGAAGCCGGAATTTTGGACAGGCGTTCCCCACTCCATGTGCACTTCAAAGGTTTCAAGTTCAGTTTTCACATGCGCTCACGTTTAACGTGCCGACGTGTGAAATTTTTAGTGAAAATTTCATAGCTTAGGGAACAAATAACACATGATTTCTGCGCACACCGGAATGTAAATGTAAACCAGTGAAAATTCTTAACAGCAAACATTCGCTTATGGTCTGAATCTTTAGCTACACAGCTGCGAACTTTATCATTTGCGTTAATGCTACGTCGCTTGGTAATCGACTGCTGGCATTCGTTTCGTCTTCGAAGGGAATTACTAGCTCACTGATTCTCTTAACACAAGCACATGGCAAAGCTTTAGCTGTCCCGAGTGTGTGTATTTGTGTTGAATGTCACAAGCTTGTTACCCCTTGACTATCGATCTAGTCATTTATGATTTTGCCAAAATGGATAAGTTTCGCAAAAACGTAAAGAAGAATCAGGAAAGCATGTTTACAAGACTTAGAGAATTTTAAATTTGGTCGAATGAATTATTTGAACAGTAAAATCTTCTGCTGTTTTTAAACGAATTCTAGCAGCATGCTTTTCAGGTCGCGTTTCATCGACAGCAGTCCGAGACAGTAAACACCCACCGGAAGAACATATCACTTTCAGGAGCGCCCTCGATTCGCTGTCTTCGGGAAGATCAAGTCCAATAGCATCTCCGACCGTGGTGAATCCGGAACCGCAACTAATTTTTGAAAAAGAAAATGAAAAATCATCCAAAAATGTTATGGCGTAGGTCTTTACTTCGGATGTCGTAGTTCACACTGTCCGAGCGATCTGATGACGGGTTGGTAAAGACACAATAAAAATTGCAAATAGACGGGAATCACAGGATCTATACATATAATGTATAAAATACAAGCACTGCGAAGGTCAGCGTTTAAATCACAGTACAGTAC